CCCCAAAACCCCAAAACCCCAAAACCCCTGAAAAGAGAGTGATGCTTCGAATGTGAGTTTAGTACTAAAATTAACTAAAGCATTTTGATCAAATCTTCATTGACACTTTTAATTAATTCTCGCAAACATGTCTGTCCAAAGAATGTAAAACGATCAAAGTATTCTTTCATAGCAATCTCCATTACAACTTTGAGGTAATCCCTAGAGCAATCAAAATTATTAATAAAAATCTAACCCCTAATAGTATTCCCAAGGCACTTAATAGTAGAGGAAAGGAGGATTTCTATACTATAAATATCAAAAAGATCGAGAAGAATAGGAAAAATACCAAAAATCTCTTTAGAATCAGACTTTTATCTCAAGCTTCGTAAAATCAAATCCTTAATAACAATGACAAATATCATCTTCCTCATTTAACCAGAATCAAAATAAGTCCTAGTAGCAATAATAATAGCCTGTGCAGCAGCAGTAGCAATAATTGTAATAGAATAATCAAAATTTCAACTTCTAAGGTAAAGTGCTACTTTAGTAATAACCAGAGGAAGGGGATGATGATAAATTAGATTTGCACTAAAATGATACTGAGATCTATGAAGATTCTCTAGAGAACTCTCAAACAACTTAGTAAAACTAAAAAGTATACAACTAAGTTTTAGATAAACTCTAGCCTATCGTTAAAAACTCAAATTAAGCAATACATTCAAATTAGAGTTCCTAAGATACATTTCAACAGCTTAGTAATCTGATCAGCACCAATAATAACACTTCTTTTGAAAAAGCTATCAATAAATAAAATGAAAAGATATAAGTTATTAAGGATTCCTCTCCTGCAGTTCAAATTAGTAAATCTCCTCCAAGAGTCTAAATTAATAATTAGCAGTAATAGGTGAAGAAGAAGGTTTCAGTGCTAGAAGAAAAAAATTAGGTTCATGAATATACTTAACTAACATACTATTCTTAATAGGAGAGCCTTAGGAATCATAATTTTGATGGTAGAGGATAATTCCAAAATAAACTCAATTAAAAACTTAATTAATAAAAATTCCAAAATAACGAGCCAAGCTCCCACAACAACTACAAAGCTTAGAACCAATATCTATCAAATAACCAATTTAATTAAAACATGAATAATAATAATAACAATTAAAATCAGAAAATTAATGAACAGAAAAATAATAATAACTAATAGACTAAATTTCAGTAGTTTTAGTAATAAAGAGTGAATAGCTAAATTTGCAGTCAAGAATAAAATACATAAGTTTAGCCCAAGAAATTCGATAATCCTACTGCAAATAACTAAATCCAAAATGGCTATTTTATGAACAGAATTCCTCCACAAAATTAAAATACTAATCCTTCTTAGTTTAACAATTAGCAAAACAAATTTCAATAGAATTTAATTGGATAGCCTATTTAGTAGCATTTTCATGACCCTAAATAAAAATAACTTTAACTTGCACCAAAGCCCAACTCTAATTAACTGTAACATAGTACCATACAGACTTAATTGATAAAGTAAATTCCTCATAAAGTTAACATAGCACAAAATACAATACTATCAAGTTCTAATAACAACTTTAACAACTGATAATAATACTAGCCATAACGAAATTAAGCTTCAAATAATAATTTCAATAAATAGTCTGGCAAGCAATCTAAAGCAAAGGCTGGATAAGTAACGAGTCCAATAAAAGCAGATGAAAAAAAATTCGATGACTATCTACTACCTTATTTTGTTAGAAAAGAAAATTTAAAAGATATCAACCAGAGAAGACCAAATGACCCAAATTATGACAAGACAACCATTTTTATATCCCAAGCTGATTGGTAATCACTTACTCCAACTCAGAAATAGTATTGGGAAATAAAGCAAAAGAATTTCGACAAGATAGTGTTTTTCAAGCTAGGGAAGTTTTATGAGATATTTGATAATGATGCTGAGATATGCCATCGTTTGCTTGATTTAAATTATATGACTAACTAAAGAAAACAATTGCATGTAGGCTTCCCAGAGAAATGCAAAGATCAATATGCTGAAGTATTAACCTAGCATGGCCATACTGTAATAGTGGTTGAGTAGACAATATAGTCTAGCAGTGAAAAGGCTAAAAATCAAAATTGGAGATTTGGAGATAAAACTTGCGTACCTCGAGCTGTCTGCCAAATTTATTCAAGGGGTACCATGAATAATTTAGACTATTAAACTTATGAATCCAAATATGTGTAAGTAAGGTATTTTTACTTAACAATAATTTACATAGATTGACAGTTAAAAGAGAGGAATATCAAATTGGAGTTTGCTTTTTCGACATTTCTATTAATAAATGCCATATTGGATTATTCGAGGATGATTCTAACTACAATACCTTTAGAACTACCTTATCTTAGATAAGAGCAGTTGAAATAGTTGTTGAAAGAGGCTAAATTCCTGAGTAAATGGAGAAAATGATCAAGAGTTCACCAATAAACCCTATTTTGCATCAATATAGAGGAGAGTAGTGTCCTAATGCTCAAAGAACAAACTCAATTTTTGATAGATACATTCATGAGGCGTAGAAATAAGACAGCTCTTAAAAAGATAGTATAAGTTAGCATATACTTGAACAAGAAGTATTTCAGAAGATTAGAAATGACTCTAGGTTTTCATTGGGATTATAAGCTTTTGGAATGGCAATCAGATTTCTAGAGTCTCATCTTTTAGCTAGCTAGTGTTTAAGGCTATTTGAATATCAACTATATCAGCCTAATTCTCAAGAATACTTGAGTGATTTCATGGTACTAGATAGCTAAGCCATTGAGCATTTAGAACTGATTGAATAGGTGAAACCATAGATCTAAAGAAGATTTAGTAAAGAAAATCAGAATGATCTGGATGTAAATCTAGCAACCCCTCCTTCTTAGACTACTTTATTTGATTTTATCAATCATACTAAAACTGAATTTGGATGTAGACTACTTAAAAAATGGCTATTGGCTCCTCTAATTGATATAGATAAAATAAATGATAGACTTGATGCAATAGAAGATCTGACTAAGAATTTCAAATATCTAGATGAATTTAGGTAGAATATATCTAGGATGCCAGATATTGAGAGAATTTTGTCGCAAGTTTATAGGTATAGTGTTCGTTAGCATGTTAAACCATAGATTTATGAAAACATCAATTACAGGAAGCTTAGAGAATTTCACAATCTATTAAGAAATTTTTCTGAGGTTCCTAGGATAATAAATCCTCTGTAACAACTGATTTGATCTACACACATAAAATCTAAAAGACTCAAAAATCTCTTAACAGACAAGTCAAACCAAAATACTTAAGGGCTTATTCCAAATATAAAATACCTGCTTGAGGAGTTCGCTTTTCTGATTGTTTGGAAGTAGGTTCCTGGTTCATAGGAGTAAATTCCAGAACCAAAGAAAGGCCTATGCAAGGAGTTTGACGACTATAACTAGCAAATATTTTAGATAAAAGACTAAATGGAAAAGTATCTGGACACTTTGAGGCAAAAAGTGAAAAGCGCAAACAATGGGAAATATTAAAATCTTGTAACTTAGTAATTTAATTAGCTCATTTATACTTTAGGATAGGTTACTCTCATACGAAGTATCGTTATGAGATTGAGATACCGAAAGAGCTAGTATCTGACAACAAAAGGCTAAAGGAACTGGAATTCACCTCTACAAGGAATGGGTTTGAGAGGTTTCATACTCAAGAGCTGAAGAGGATGATCGAAGAGCTAGAGGAATGTGAGGAATCTCTTCAGAATACTCTTAGTCCCTTTATATATGCTTTGTTTCAAAGATTTTATCAGAGTAAGGGGATGTGGGATGCTACAGTCTCAGTACTTGCTGAACTAGATTGTTTGGCATCTCTTGCAATGGCAAGTAGTAATGGAGCAACTACTTAAATGTGCAGACCTGAGTTCTTATAGTATGAGGGCAGATTTAAAAATAAAGGGTATCTTGAGCTATGAGACATGAGGCATCCTTGTGTAAATTTTAAGTAGGATATTAATGGCAAGGCGAGAAAAGAATTCGTCCCAAATGACACAATCATAAATGATCCCAATACCAATGCAAGGGTGCTTCTAGTCACTGGTCCAAACATGGGAGGTAAATCTACCTTGCTAAGGTAGACTTGTCTTGGAGTCATACTCGCATAAATTGGATGCTATGTGCCTGCTTCAAAGTGCAAACTCACTCCAGTCGATCGTATCTTTACCAGACTTGGCGCCTCTGATCGTATACTAGAGGGTAAGAGTACCTTCTTTGTAGAGATGGAGGAGACAAACACCATTCTACTTCAAGCAACTTTTAAATCTCTAGCCATTGTTGATGAATTAGGCAGAGGCACCTCTACATTTGACGGCTATTCTATAGCTCATGCAGTCTTGAACTTCCTTGTAAAGAATATTAGATGCAGATCTTTATTCTCAACACATTATCATATGCTGCTAGACAAGTTCAGGAATGTTGAGGGTGTATAATCTTATCATATGGCGTGCAAGTAAAATGAACATGAGTAGGATAAGATCATTTTCCTTTATAAGTTTATCAAAGGTGATTGTCCAGAAAGCTTTGGTATGAATGTAGCTCGAATGGCTGGTCTTCCTAATCGAGTAGTTGATAGGGCTAAGTTAAAGTCTAAAGATTTTGTGAAAAAGATGCAAAGAATGTTACAATTTGGTTAAAGCTATAATAAAAAATACTTTAATGAAACTATTAAATCAAATGACACAAATGGTTATCCTTAGTACTCAATTAATAGTTCTATATTGAAAGACAGATCTAGTTTTTAATCTTGCAACAAATACAATAGTCAAAATAATGAAGATGATGATGACGACAAATGTGACTCAGAGACAGCTTCTCAGGACAAGCTAAAGCAAACTCAGAGTCATGAAATAAATGATGGTAATGAAGACTTTAATCAAATAGCTATTATAAATGATCAGTAAAGTAATAGCGAAATTATGTCCTAGCTAGAGATTGACTAGGAGATGATTGAGTATGAAGACAATGCGTCTCAGAATGATTCTCAGATTGTCGATTCCCAAATTAGGAATAATCTGCAGTAGCAATAATAATACTAGAGTGTAAGTAAATTTAATAACTAAAGAGCAGCTCTTGGGAGTAAGAGCTAGGTGGAATATAATAAGAGATATAATTGAAGAAAAATAATATTTTAATTAATTTCAAATTAACTTAAATTTTAAACCAATTAATTTTTTATGAATTATTAGGTTATGGGGTTTTGGGGTTTTGGGG